ATTTCATTGTATGGGCTGTTAAGCTAAACCAGCATGTATATTATAAAGGTATTATGACTTCCAAATTTGGGTCTAAGGATATGTTGCCTTGGAATAGAAGTTCTTCTCTTGTTTCCACAGAAGATAAGAACCTGTGGATTGCTTCCAGGCCAATATAGTTTCATGGACCAAGACCTCCTGAAAGGTTGCCTTGAATACCCCTCAAAAAAATTACTTTGCCCAATAAACAGCAGGAAGAAGTTTGGACAGAACTGTGTCCATATTCATAAATATTGTTTGTAAATCTTTCTTTACATTTAAAGAGGGATATGATATAGATATGAATAATTTGCATTGGTATGGATCTTGGTTTATTGATACAAATATAACATTTTGTTATATGTATATTTCTGTTCTTGATTAAGGTATTGTTATTGTGTAGTTCATTTAAAAAATGTAATATATAATTAAGAAATATAGGTTAATAGATAATCATTTATAATAGTCAAGCTTGTCACGTTAGTTAGATTATCTAGATGTATAGAGTTATATTTCAGTTAGATGGGTATTCTTCAAATCTCTCAGAGACCTTCAGAATATGGCATTTAAAATGTTTTAATAACTTAGGAGTTTTCATGATAATGAGACACATCTGCTCCTGGCAGCACCAAGCTACTTCAAGAAGGAAGATAGGCACTGAAGAAGCTCCTTATGGAGTTGGTTAGCCATTTGGGCAGGAAACTGCTTTTGCCTGGGCTGCTTGATGAACTGGACATGCAGGACCCGCAGAGAAATGACTGTTGAACTTGCCTGAAGGTGAGATGATCTTTCAGGGTTCCTGCTTCACAAAAGAGTCTATGAGACATTCTGCAGGATACAAAAAAAAAAAAAAAAAAAAGGACTGGCAAACTGTCAATATAGGCAGAACTGTCTTTGAAATTTCCTGCTTTGTGGAATAGTCTGCTGGATACTATGGGCCTGGAGGCTGAAGAGGGATGCCCCAATGGTACAAAAGAACTTTGGGTGATTGTCCAGGTAGCGGGATGTCTCTGTCATTTCTAGAGTTTTGGAAGTTGCTTGCAATGTATTTCCTGTTTACTTAAGTAATATTTTATCCTTCTGGAGTCTTTGTTGGAGTTGAAGAATTTATAGTTATAGTTTTCCTTAGTTATGATAAAATATAAAGTATATATAAATATTATAACTGTAATTTTTGCTTGATATCTGTTTCATTAAATGTAATTTTTCTATGTTAAAGTCAAAACCTTCCTTTTTATTTAAACAGAAAAGGGGAGGTGATGTGGGAGTCCCTCTGTGTGTTGTGATTACCATTAATGAAAAAAGAAACTGCCTTGGCCTGTTAATAGGGCAGAACTTAGGTAGGTGGGGAAAACTGGACTGAATACTCAGAGAAGGAAGGCAGAGATGAGAAGCTATGGAGCTGCCATCGCCAGAGATAGACATGTTGAGACTTTGCTGATAGACCATGACCTCATGGTGACATACAGATTAATGAAGATGGGTTAAATTAATATGTAAGATTAGCCAATAAGAAGTGAGAGCTAATTGGCCAAGCAGTGATCTAAATACTACAGTTTCTGTGTGATTATTTCAGGGCTTAGCTAGCCGGGCGGCCAGGATGAACAAGTGGGCCCTACTCCTACACCTTGGTGAGAAATACTATTTGCTTTTTTAGCCCAATACATCATGGAGTCAACAATCATCTGTTTTCTGATTTTCAAATTTTATCTTAATGTGCATGAGCATTTGCCTGCATGTGTGTATGTGCAACATGCATATTCCTGGTGCCTATGGAGACTAGAAGAGAGCATCAGATACCCTGGAACTGGGGTTACAGAGAGTTGTGAACCACTATGTGCTACTGAGATCAGAACCTGAGGTCTGTGAGAGGAGCAAATACTCTTAACAGCTGAGACATCTCTCCATCCAAGTTTTCTGATTTTAACTATAGCTATCATTAGATACTTAGGCTAATTATTTTGATTGCAATTATAGCATAAAGATTAATTCAGCCAAGTTACCTGCACATTTTATGATACACATTATGTATACAGTAACAATTTCTCCATCATACCATTTGATATTTCAAAGAAAGTATAAAAGTTCAACATATGATTATAAATAATATCTATAGCTATATAGTTTTTAAAAATGTAAATATTCTCTTGGATTTTTATTTACTTATAGTATCTGATAGGCATGATTATATAATTCTCAATGTTTTCTTCATAAAGAGCTTCCTCTTTAATGTAACTATGAACATAAACATTTTTATTAATTGTTTTTTTAAACTTAACTCTCATGTTTTGGTCATTTTTCAAACGATGTTTATCTATGATTCTTTTTCTGGTGGCCTTTCTATTACCTTCAGAGTATTTCTAAAGCATCAGTAACTTCTAGGTCTCTTGGTTTCCATACCATAATATCTAGGATTATCTAGCTCTTTCCAAATCTTGGGACTAGAAGAAATTCCTTTGTATGTGGGTCTGGCAGGTGCTTTGAGGCACACGTTTTGGGGAAGCTCCCAGGAAATGCATAATGAGTTGGCTTCTCATTATGTGGCTCAGGATAGCCCAATATTCACTATGTAATTTCAGCTGGGCTCAAACTCAAAATTCTTCTGATTCAACCCCTGGAATACTAGAATTACAGACATGTAACACCATGCCTAATACTTTTTCCAAATCTCTCAAATTAATTATATCATGTAGTCAAGATAGAACCTGATTATATTAGAATCATAAAATATTATAATCTATTTTACAATGAATTAGCTTTTATGATACAAGGTATAAATTAATGAAAAAATATCACTGTTGTTCTCCACCTCAACTGGACAGATATGTTTAAAAAGCCATTATAGAAGAGAAGGAAAAAAGTAAAAGGGAGGATGAGGAAGAGTGCTATGAATTTCAAACTTTTAGATATGATATGTCTATTACACACATGAGTTGCGACAATCACATTAGACCAGCACAAGACTAAGCCAGTTCAAAGACTTCACCACAGAATAAGTGGGGATCCTGTGGCCCAGTTTTCAGCTGGGGGCTATAGGTAGCTAGCTATTGTCACTTTTCTTTTCTTTTTATTTATTATATATACAATAGTCTGTCTGCGTGTATGCTTGAAGGCCAGAAGAGGGCACCAGACCTCATTATAGATGGTTGTGAGCCACCATGTGGTTGCTGGGAATTGAACTCAGGACCTTTGGAAGAACAGGCAATGCTCTTAATCGCTGAGTCATCTCTCCAGCTCCGTCACTTTCCTTTGGGTAAATGGATGACCTAATACTCATGCATATATGGGTAACATGAATTGGACTCTAGATTTAAGGGAAAAAAAGGATAAAAGGGAAATGTGCAGGAGGCAGCTAGTGGTTAAACACTGAGTATAATTCTTCAGGCATTGTTAAAGACAGTGACGTTCAACATTCTAGAACTTTCCAAGTAGGCTAGGGTGGCTGGTTAGAGAGCCCCAGAAATCCTTAGCACTGTGGCTGCAAGCATACTACTAAGCCTGGCTTACTTATGAATGCTCTGGGGGATCAAACTTAGGTCTTCAAGCTTTTACAGAACGTACTGTACTGACTGAATTATGCTTCCAGACCTTTCTCTCTATCGTCACTGTTTCTGTCCTACTACAGTTGGATTTTTCTGATATTTTAAAACATCACGAATATTTCTTTATCAATTAAACACTGACGATTTTTCCCTTCAAAGCACTCATTTAGACTACAATTTTAGCAAAGGAACCTTAGTCAAACAGCCTTGGGACTCATCTGGCAAGATTAAAAGCTTATTGGCACATGTCTGGGGGATCATGAGTTGTTAGCTAGTCTGGGCTATACAGCAAATTCCCAAGCAACCCTGTCAAAACAAAACAAAATGGAAAAAAAAAGAAAAAAAGAAGAAAAAGCACAAACAAAATACCAAAACAAAAGAAAAATGAAACCTTTGGGTTCTTAAGCTTTTCTAGAATTAAACTAATGAGGAGACATTGGATTTCCTTCTGAAATACTGTTCTTAATCACTGGACCCTTTAGCTTTTGTTTCTGTCATACAGATTTTTCAACAAGTAGCCCAGGCTGTTTTTGAACACACGATGCTCCAACTCAACCTGAGTACTGGGATAACAGCTGTGTACTGGCTCTCACTGGATCTTTTAGTTATCTTTGAGCATCATGAGATTTTCCTAGGAGAGCCTAGAAACTAGCAATTTGCTCACAAAGACGGCAGAGGGTTTTTAAAACAGCATGCGCTACCTTAACATGTGCTCCTAGGGAGGAAATAAACGTGACAGTTCCACTTCCATGTCAAGCCTGTAGCAGCATATATTCATCTTACATGAGTTTAGAACGAACAGAATTACATTTATATGTAAGGAAAATCACAAGTAGAAATGAAAATTATTTCCAAGATAGAGTAGGCAGAATGTTTCTATATTAATATATATTAATATTATCAAGCAAGAACAGTGTTTTGCATGATTTAGAATTTCAATCCCACGACCTCTATGCATCATTTAAACTATAGCAGACATAATTACCTGTGGAACTATTTTAAATGAAATATTTTAAATTAGACTTTAATTAAAAAATCATACACATGATTAAATATGAATCACATAATAGTGTTAGATTAGTAACAAAAAAGAACAAAACGTTGCTTTTCCTCTACCTATTTGCATTTCTTTTCTTCAGAAATAACTATTTTAACTCTTAGATGTGTCTGCATTGATTTTTCTAATCATAGTTTATGCTTCCTTTTATATATCAGATCTTTTTTGTAGTGTTGGGGACCAAACTTAAAGCTTTGGGCATGTTAGGCAACACTCTACAACTGAACCAAATCTCTAGTCCTCTGTAATAGTTCCTGATGGACTTCCCATCAATACATACACACCCTTTCTCTCTTCCAGCTACCCAATGTTACATTATCATTTCTTGTCAACCAAGTACTTATATTACAGGTGCAGTATTAGTCACATGAGGTATGACAGTATAACTTTTGACTATTTTATTTCTCATGGGGTTTAGAATGACTTCAGTTTTAATTTCAAAATAAAATATAAGCACTAACTCACCCCAGACTTGGAAAAATCTCTAGCATACATTCACACATACACCAGGTATTTGTTCTTTTTTGGACGTTCAGTACACTCCATCCTTGGGCATTTCCTGTTTATTTCATCTGGCTACCCCCTCCATTTAGCAGTTAGAAATTTTCTGGCTGTCCATAATGCACACAACGTCCCAATCATTCACAACAGATCATAAATATTACCCTCCCACTCCACAAGGACAGCCATTCCATTTACTTTCTTGTCCTTCCACGTCTCAATTGTATTTTCGCAAGGTTTGTAACTTCTGTATTTTACTCTGTAACCGAAATTAAGTATTCCCTTTAACGAAGAAAGCCGTGTTTGGTCCTCTTGCATTACTAGCAGTTTGCATTACTAGCAGAGAATAGTCAGTTCCTTTCTTTTTGCCTCAACTGGACTTTCTTTGGCTCTAATGTCTCTTTGACAGGGACATCTTCTCACACTCCCATCATTTGTTCAAAATCCCGCTGTCACATTTGGCAATGGGGACAAGCTTTCCTGTAGTCTGGCTCTGACCCAGTTTCAATGTATCCTCTTGTGGGAGGAAGAGACACATACTTTTCAGGTCACATTCATGGTATACGAGGCCTCTGATTCAATGACAGTCCAATATTCTCAGAACGTAAGTTGGATGTAAATCTGTGTTCTTGAAAAACTTTTTTTTTCCTTTCTCACAATGCAATCTGTGCCCTCTGTTATATCCCAAGGTTCGCCAGGGATTTACAGAAGCATTTTCCTTAGGTACGTCCTTGGGCCTTAGTTTCTCTGCTTCTGGAACGTCTTTGCTCTTAACAGACCTGGCGAGCTTTCCCACCTCCAAACCCCGGGCCGGGGAGGCAGGGGCAGGTCGCGCGCGCTCTCGCGAGTCTGCTCGTTCTTCACGCGCGTCCCGGCGGCGCCGCGGGCGGGGCGGCCTGGGCGGAGGCCATCTTGCGGGTCTCCGGAGGCCGGCCAGGCAGGCTCGGCTCTAAATGTGTACCTGCAGGCGGATGTTGAGGATCACCGAGCCGGCGATGTAGAAGTACGGGAAGTTAATGCGCAGCTGCCAGGCCAGCTCGAAGAAGGCGAGCAGGGTCCGGGAGAGCCCCTTGCAGAAGACACCGTACGGGGTGGCGGCCGCGGGGCCCAAGGCCGTGAGCGCCAGGGCGGATGGGACGTCGGCGGGGGCCATGGCGCTGTCCCACCCGGCCGA